CTGTTTATCACCAATTCTGTTTAACTTGTACAACGAATGCCTTACCAAGGAAGCTCTGGATGGGCTCGGAGACTTCAAAGTAGGAGGGCAAATTATTCAAACTGAAATATGCAGATGACCTTGTGTTAATGGCTAAGGAAGAAACTGTGATACAGGGCATGATTGATAGACTAATTGAAATTGGAAGGTGCTATGGCATGGAAATGAATGTGGAAAAAACAAAAGTAATGAAAATTTCGAGACAACCAACCCCAGTCACAATAAAGATAGACCAAAAACAACTGGAGAATGTGAAATGTTTTAAATATTTGGGTAGCTTGTTAACAGATGATGGAAGGTGTACTAGTGAAATTAAATCCAGGATTGCCATGGCAAAAGCTGCATTTAGCAAGAAGAAAAATCTTCTTACCAGCAAATTGGACTTAAATTTGAGGAAGAAACTACTGAAATGCTACATTTGGAGCATAGCTCTGATTGGGGCTGAAACATGGACACTTAGGGCAGTAGATCAGAAACATCTGGAAAGTTTCGAAATGTGGTGTTGGAGAAGGATGGAGAAGATCAGTTGGACCGATTATGTGAGAAATGAAGAAGTGTTAATTAGAGTCAGTGAGCAGAGGAATATCCTACACGAAATAAGAAAACGGAAGGCTAATTGGATTGGTCATGTTTTACGCAGAAACTGCCTTCTAAAAGAAGTTATCGAAGGAAAGATAGAGGGGCGGATAGAAGTGACAAGAAGACGAGGAAGAAGACGTAAGAAGATGCTGGATGACCTTGGGGACAGAAGAGGATACTGTCATTTGAAGGAGAAAGCTCTAGATCGCATTAAGTGGAGGAATTGTTTTGGAAGAGACTGTGGACCTGTCGTCTTGACAGATTACTGATGATGATGATGATGATGATGATGATGATGATGATATTTAATTGTTCGTCTGTTGAAGAAACAGTAAGTAAAGTAAGGCTATCCCTGTAACAGGCCGTGGAGGCCCATAGGATTGTGAGATGTTGCGGTTCCCACATTTTCTAGACAGTCGGCTCATAGATGGCGGTAAGGTTGTCAGCTTTGCAGGCATAACCGAAATATATAAAAAAATAGTTTCGAAACTTTTGAACCGACCACGTACATGTACAATTTTGCTTAGAATGGCCGATATTATGACCTCCCAAAATACTGACCTTTCCTCCTGGGACACTCTGTATAAACGAAATAATGAAGGTCATTTATGCCTTGAATAAAGCTCCTGCTGCGAGTTACAGATGTATATGATAGCTGTATTCTGTCAATGGCTGTTCCTTAGTGTCTGCAATGTCTGGTTTCGTAAAACTTCGGAATGAACTCAGTTTTTGAAAGCCTCCCCATACAGATACGCTGTTTTCTTCACTTTTCCCAGGCGCCTCTAGAATGTCTGTAAACAAAACTGATCCAAAATATATAGATATACATGTGTATAGTTTGCTTGGCGCTTAAACAGCACCCTACCGGCTCATATAAGGACATAGGTAAAATCTACACGAATTTTTAATATCGGGACAGAGGTCAGTTCCACTTCATAAATTGACGTAATATTACAATTATTAAGTAGTTACTATAGGATTCTGACGATGGTGTATAACACACAGAGATATTGGGTTTTCGGACTTTATCCATCGTCCTGGTTTTTAAGATAACTAAGAAAAAACACGACGTTTCGGAAACTGGATCTGTTTCCGTCCTCAGTTGAGGGAAAACACCTATTCTGTTGGGTCCCTTAGAAAGAGCTAGCCTCGATCACTGGATCCAACAGTATAGGTGCTTTCCCTCACCTGAGGATGGAAACAGATCGTTTCCGAAACGTCGTGTTTTTTCTTAGTTATCTTAAAAACCAGGACGATGGATAAAGTCCGAAAACCCAATATCTCTGTGTATTACAATTATTATATGAGTCACTAACAATTGAGGCTGTATAGTTACTTATTAAGGACTTTACCACCGAAACCACGTTTCTTCTTTGACCACCTTATCCACGCCGACTCCTGAGCTCAACCAGATTAATATCTAATAACTAACCGTGGTTCCTTCATCGGGAGTAAAGCAGCCGGAGCGTAAAGCTGACAATGCGGTTACATTCGGTGCCGAAGTCAAAATATGTGGAGCTATTTTCCTCTCCTCCTTTATGCCGTTATGAAGTTAAGCTTTAGTGTAGGGGAAATTTCGCCTTTACTTTTATTGGAACCAGTTTAATATATTAGGCTAATGGATTTCTTGTTCCATTCAGGAAACGAGTTATGGTCCCTGTTGCAGCCACCCGATAATCCATCCTAGACTCGAAAAACTAAAGTAATGGCTTGCTATATTCCCGTATTGCAAAAAGCGAGAGACTGAACTAGGGATGTTTTTCATGTTCTGGATAAACCAGTTCCTTGCTGCGTGAAAAGAGTGTTGGGGGGAAATAGCCACTCAAAGTAATGATTTCCTAGCCAAATAATGCGTCGAACTGTCACCAAAAACACGCCAGAGAAGAGTAATATAAAAATTTCCCTAGGGAAGGGCATAGCCCCTCGGCCTCAGGGTGTGGGTACTCGATATCCATGGCATTCTGGGAGCTGCCAAGTGAAAACGGCTATACAATTCTGTTGTGAGCGGTAGCACAATCAATTAGTCAGTTCGGACATAGCAAGAAACAGTGGACTGCAGTATCGGAAACTCGAATGTTTTGTAACACGAGAGAATTAGAGGGAAGTTCACTCCATGATTCAGTAAAATATACCCATAAAGGGAACTACGTCCGCTCCCCGACATATCGTTAGAAGTTGCAAGACATTGTGAATGTACTGTACTTGGTAAATGTACAGATTTATGTTAAAGAAACTTGTGGAAAGAATTAAGTTGGTAAACCGAGGTAGAGAATGCATTTAAATAGACTTGAATTAAAAGTGTTCTTGTAATGGACACTGAGCCGGTCAGGGTAGCCGAGCGGTCTAAGGCATGCATTGTCTTCGCTCGCTCGGAAATCATATGGATGTTCAGTGCGTGTGTGTGTGTATGTGTGCATTTTTCTGTGTACATGAAAAGGTAGAGGCCTTGCGACGAGCTGATCACCCGCCCAAGGAGTCCTACCGAATGTCTTAAGATCTAGTAAACCGAAGTGAAACGGAGAATTTCATGGAGATAGGCCAAGGCCCTAATTGAGCCTGTAGCGCCAAAGGAAAAAGACAATGGACATTGGCTTGAAGTCTCTTTAGTGTTGGCTTCTATTCTGTTGATATTCTGATTTTGTAGTCTCTGGCCGTTAATTTATGCATGGTCATTGGTGCAAAACCTCGTGTGTGTGAAGTTAGTGTAATGTTTGTCTTAACACCCGCTGATGGTTTATTTTTTGTTTGGTTTAAATATCCTGTCTTGTGTTGTTTCTGATGTCCAGAGGTAGAAACTAGCTCTATCCATTGGACCAAATTGAGTATATTTTTACCTTTGGACAGAGACAGAATCCAGTCCCCGAAATATTGTTATTAAATAAATACAGGGCGATGGATAATATCCAAAAAGTCAATAGTTGTATGGCTTGAGATCGCTTACGTTCTGGACTAGTCTTTGTGGAGCCATGATAATTATGTGAAACCTTGATATCATGTCTGCAAAACGAACATAAGCAAGTCTTTTCCATTAGTTGCCTAGTACGGTGATTGTAAAATTATGGATGTAAAGAATGGAATTGTGTTCACTTCATTACGGGTTAACCTAACACAAAGACTCGATCAAGGAACTTCACTCTCATGGCGAAGCTAATTTGGTTGGATATCTCCGTTAATGGCGGCGTGTCGGAAAGACCAGATTTCTAAACGATAAAGTTGCCGTGAAGCCCCCCAACACCTGCTGTGGTTTCCTTGTTTCTGGAGGTCGCAATCTTACACCGGAAGTTGTTAGTGTGAAGATACGAGCATCTCCACGCCTCATTTCTCCTGCACACTCGTACAAAAGGCAGAAATCTACCAACACACTTGTACCCTCACGAACTTTAGGAGTGTTCCTAACACCTGTGCTTAACGACCTTGCTTGCTTTCTGAACAGCCCCCTCTCCCGCCTTCCACAACTGTAAACGTTCCACTTAAAGGGATGGATCTGTAAGGATCTGGTAGTTTTTTACAGCAGCTTTATCTGGATTAGTCCGGGAAGAATAAAACTTTTAATAAAATTAAGAGAAGGATACAATGGGAAAGGATTTTTATTCACATCCTAAATTTCTGTCGGATCGTGGACTTTCCAAAATATTAAAGATTAAAGAAATAAATTATGATATATGCTTTATACGTGTATATATATATATATATATATATATATATATATATTGTCTGTCGCTTTGTATAGTTGTGAGACATGACTCTTACCCTGAGGATAAATGTAAATTGAACGAAACTGCGAAAGAAAATATGGGGTGATTATAAATTATTGTCGGGATTTTCATGCCCTATAATTTTCAAGCCGGAAAAATACAAAGAAAAAACTGCTTACAAAAAGTGAAATTGTAATTAAAAAAGTTTTAGTGAGAGAATTAATACGGTGTTGCTAAATAAGATTATTTTAGTTATACTTTCGCATTCCATAAGCATTTTTCCCCCCGATTTGAAAATTATAGGCCACGGAAACCCCGACAATAATTTAGAATCACCTGGACTTCCGTCTTGGGAACGCCTGCCGAATGATAGTAACAGACCCTGTTTCAATCATGAAAAGTACGTAAAATCTACCCCATATTAAGTTATTAATCCCCACATTGAAGTAGAGCTATATACAAGCATACGTGAGCTAGTGTTCAGAATAATCTTCATTTCGTTGTCTACCTGATAAGGCCCTCAGTGCCTATCGTCTCACATTCTTTGCTTTTGTACATTAATATCATATCTCTTATCTATAAAGCCCAGAAATGAGCAGGGTTGTTCACAAAATTTGCGTTCAAAACTCATTATACGTTGCAAACAAACCCTCTCTAGACATAACAATGTGATGTGTTATGTTCCAGTATGGACCACCCACTGTAGTATGCGGTGACGGAGTTTGTGACCAGTGGCGGCTCGTTTGCCTAGACACTAGAAGAATGGTCGCTTGGACGATGAAGTCAATTCCTCTGCAACCCCGGGCCATCCACCGGTGAGTAGTTCCAGTTGAGACTGATTTAATCCTTTGCGAGGGCCGCGCCATAGCTCAAGCGGTTAGTCGCTGGCTTCCCACCGCGGTGGCCCGGGTTCGATCTCGGG